ATGAGACTCAGACTTCCATACAGACTCCTGACCCAGTTCCTGCCTCCATGACCTCCCCCATCAATCATGCAGAAACCTTCCACTCAAACTGTATCCACAAGAAATCCTTACCCCAAGCACCAGGAGTTCAGCCATGGGAGGTCTAGAGGCTCACAGTAGGTCATTTCCCCCCTCTTCTTTTCTTATCCATTTTTTTTCCTCATTTTCTTCCCTGCTTAAAGGCCATCTATTTCCTGGATTGTCACATACATGTGATTTGGGTAACTGCTTTGCTTCTTAAACATATTCTTGGGAGGACTCACCTTTTACTCCAAATAGCTTATCAAAATACTTGTATCAAACTAATAGAATGCTCCTGATTACAGGTCCCCATGTCATTGAAACTATATAGGGAAGATAATAGTTCTTGCTCATTGAATGTAAGTTCCCCTACCCCTTCCTCTTTCTCTGGATTTAGAAGTGTGGTAATTGTGTAATGTGCACATTACAACCATGTGAGCTTTACAAAGGAGCTCTTAAAATATGAATATCAGAGCTGGGCTCATAGACATACTGATTTAAATGATGGAGTCCACACAACAACATTTTAAGCACCAAGAACAGAATCCAGAAGTTGGAAAATAGCCATCAGTTATCAAATCGTCAAAAAGAAGAAACAAATACTCCATCAAGAATCCATATACCTGATGACCCACAGCACCTACTCAGTTATTTACCTGGTCACCCACAGCTCTTCAGATACAGCTTTCCTTCTGAATGCTCAGAAAAAGTGTGACAACATAGTAATTCATTTCTTCCCATTGAACTCCATACTTGTGAAAATGGGAGAATAAATCTAGAACTTTTATGACTTTACTGACAGCTGTCATTGGTGTGATCTTACACTTGGACACTTCCAGCCAGGGATGGATATTCAGCCAGTACCTATGCACCCAGTCCAGGCATTGGTGACCAACCTGCTACTTGCAGGCAGCAGGTACAATTTTCTTGCCTCTGAAGTGTGGGAAGGCAGAGTTTGGCCGAGATTATTAATGAAGGTGACTATAGCAGCACCCTACCTGGGGTGATGAGCAGTGGCCATAGTGGTCAAGGCAGCCCGGTTAGATGGGAGGGCAAGAAGTCCCACATCTTATCCTTGCCTCACCCTTCTGAATGGTCATTCCATCTTCCCACTGCAGCCTCAGGAGCAAGTAACCCTTCAAGACTTGGAATAAATGTCACATCCTCAGCAAAGCCTTCTCTCCTTCCTAGGTTCTCCACAACACCCTGCCCAGACCTCACAGGATGTCATGTGTTTTCTTACTAGTTTCCCAGTTCCCCAAGGGCCGCTTCTCATATTTTACTTCATTTTGTATCAACAGGGCTTGATACAATGCCTCAAATATCTCTATGACATAAATTTCCTAATAAAATGTCTATAGTATCTACTCTCCACCTCATAATGTACTTAAGAAATCCAATATCCCTTACAAATCCAGACGGCTCACTTAACAGAATGGAGTTATCTTATTATCAGACTTCAAGGTCTGCTTTGATGATACAGCATCTATAACTTAACTTGTTTTTGAAATAGAGGGAAAATGATTACTGAAATGAAGGTCACTGCTGAGCATGAAAAATGGAAGGGAAGAGAGCCAGGCCCAACATCATTGTTTAATGAAAAC